AAACTGAAGCAGCAGAGGCTGCAGTTTCCCAGCATGGACTCTGGGCGCCGCTGTTGGCCAAAGTGGAGAACTGGGCGCTCGCGATCTCCTCGCGCAGGCGCAGCGCTTTCCAGGGCGGCCCCGTCTGACTCTCCCGCAGTAGCCTGTACACCGCTTCCTCCTGGGGAACAGAAGACACTTTTCCGGACCTGGAACTGGAACTGAAGTCCGTTCGGAGCTCTGGACATCTGCGGTACAGAGGTTATTTACACCCCGGCGTCTCCGGGCTGGTGAGCGAGCTGAGGGGAGCAAGAGGGATGGGGAGCGGCGCTGGGGAGCGGGGCGGCGCTGAGAGGCGGCCGGTGCTCTTTCCCTTCCTGCTGCCTCTGTTCTGCCCGGCGCTGTCCGAGCAGATCCGCTACAGGATTCCCGAGGAAATGTCCAAGGGCTCGGTAGTGGGGAACCTCGCCGAGGACCTGGGGTTCAGTGTGCGGGAGTTCCCGACTCGAAAACTGCGCGTCAGTTCGGAGAAGGCTTACTTCACCGTGAGCGCGGAGAGCGGGCAGTTGCTTGTGAGCAGCAGGCTGGACAGGGAGCAGATATGCGGGAAGAATCCAGCGTGTGCTCTGGAATTTGAGGCTGTTGCCGACAACCCATTGAACTTTTATCACGTGAGTGTGGAGATCGAGGACATTAATGACCACGCGCCAAAATTCACGCAAAATTCCTTTGAGCTGCAAATAAGTGAGTCTGCACAGCCAGGCACACGATTTATATTAGAAGCAGCGGAAGATGGAGATATTGGCTTAAACTCGCTACAGAAGTATGAACTCACTTTTAACCCTGTTTTCTCATTGATAAATAAGGAGAAACAAGACGGCAGTAAATACCCGGAACTGGCATTGGAGAAAACCTTAGACCGGGAACAACAGAGTTACCATCGTCTAATCCTGACTGCTTTGGACGGCGGAGATCCACCCCTAAGCGGCACCACTGAGCTCAGAATCCAGGTCACTGATGCCAATGATAATCCCCCTGTATTCAGCCAGGACGTGTACAGCGTCAGCCTTCCGGAAAGCGTGCCCCCAGGCACTTCTGTGCTGCAGGTGTCAGCCACCGACCAGGACGAGGGCGTCAACTCGGAAATTATTTATTCTTTCTTCAGAAACGGGCAAGTCTTCAGTCTGAATTCAAAGAGTGGGGAAATTAGAACTCAGAGGTCACTGGATTTTGAAGAAATCAAGGAATATTCTATAGTGGTGGAAGGGAGGGATGGTGGAGGACTGGTTGCACAATGTACAGTTGAAATTAATATTCAAGATGAAAATGACAATAGCCCCAAAATTACATTTCATTCTCTACTTGAAATGATTCTGGAAAACGCAGTGCCTGGAACATTAATTGCTTTGATCAAAATACATGACCAAGATTCTGGGGAAAACGGGGAGGTTAATTGTCGATTAGAAGATGAAGTCCCTTTTAAGATCATCTCTTCGTCCAAAAATTCATATAAGTTGCTAACAGACGGGACCCTGGACCGAGAGCAGAACCCAGAGTACAATGTCACCATTATAGCCACCGACAGGGGCAAGCCGCCCCTCTCCTCCAGCTCAAGCGTCATCTTACATATAGGCGACGTCAACGACAACGCTCCAATTTTCCATCAGGATTCTTACCTGGTCGAAGTGGCCGAAAACAACCCTCCTGGAGCCTCCATCGCGCATGTCAGCGCCTCCGACCCAGACCTGGGGCCAAACGGCCATATCTCTTATTCCATTGTGGCCAGTGATCTGGAGCCCGGGATGCTGTCGTCCTACGTGTCGGTGAGCGCGCAGAGCGGGGTGGTGTTCGCGCAGCGCGCCTTCGACCACGAGCAGCTGCGCGCCTTCGAGCTG